CTCTCTGCCATGTTGGATGTCATGATAGACTAAGGACGCCCACCATGTGCTAAACCCCAACGAATCTGATGTTGGTCCACCCAGTTATCACAAGAAATATTTCTATCAGTTGCCAGCTTCTTAAATTGCTCAACTTGACGATCGAACTTCTCCAAGCGTTTTTCTCCGGCTAACAAAATAAACAACCACATGGGTTAGATAAATTCATGACAAAATTACATGAAAATAAATAATACATTAAAATAAATAACAAAATTAAATGAAGAAGGCTTACCGACTCGAAATAGTTGCTTATACATAATCATGCTTTTAGTCTTCCTTTGCAAATTGCTTGCATAGTGTCGCATGCACCACCTGCACTCCCAACCTCTTCCAATGTTATTCATAGCTTCATAGAGTCCCGCATGTCTATCTGAGATGATGCGGACATCATTTCAATCAGTCAAACCTTGAACACGACTTATGAACCATGGCCAACTATCAGTATTCTCGCTCTCCACTATGGCAAATGCAATTGGAAAAATCTTCTTCTGGCCATCAAATGAGCTCGCCATGAGTAGCACTCCTTTATACTTTCCAGTAAGAAATGTTCCATCGACAACCATGACTCCTGGACAATTCTTGAATCCATCTATACAAGGCCCATAAGCCCAGAATACTCGCTGAAATATCGAATGACCTGGCTGAGCTGAAGGAACTCTTACCCAATCAATCACCGATGTTGGCATTTTTCTCTTTACCACTCGTAAGAATGTTTGCAAATAATCGTAGGATTCTTCCCAATTCCCATGCAACTTCTCCAATGCTCTTTGTTCCCATACCAAGCCTTTTTGTAAGTAACTTGCATATTAAACTTATCTTTCAACTCGGCCTACACAGTTAGAACACTCAGGCCCTGTTCACTTCCATTTTCGTTTCCTGTTTTCTGTTTTCATGTTACAAATTTGGCAAACGAAACGAGAAAACATGTTTACTTTTCATTCTGTTTTCTATTCGTTTCCAACTCTGAAAACAGAAAGTGGCAGCTTCCTACTGTTTTCGAAAACGAAAAAATGTCGTTTTCACCTGTTTTCAACATCTGTTTTCTCAAAAACAGGAAACAAAAATGAAAGTAAACAGGGCCTCAGATTTTGTTGGGCACATACCAAGTGTTTCACAGACTCAGATATAAAGTCGACATCAAGATGGCGATGATCTGTCGGTTGAGTCGTACTGCTACAAGAATGCACCAACTCAGCCTTTCTCATAGTCCATTCGCCTCCCACATCTCGACATCCAAACCGCACCATCCAAGGACAATTGTCATCGTTGTGCTTCAAACATCTAATCTTCCAGATTCAAGGTGACGACTCCACCACATTATACTGAAAGTTGAGTTGTAGTGCGTAGTGTTTAATCGCCACATGTGCAGCTTGTTTCGAGTGAAATATCTACCCCTTGTAGAATTCTCCATCAAAACCAGCAACAATAGACATTGGAATTACGCCATATGAATCAGCATATGATAATTCATCGTCCTCTTCATTACCCTGCAAGTAAAAATATGGAGGATAATTAGGCTGTTCTCCTCCTCCTCCTACTCCTCCTCCTCCTCCTCCTCCTCATCATCATCATCATCCTCCATCATCACCGTCATCATAGTCATGATCGGATGGCATGCTCCATGTGTCATCTTCTTCCTCTCCACCACGATCCTCACTGAGCTCAGCATGTATCTCAGCACCCAAACAATAAGGGTTTTGTGCCATAAAATTCCAAAGCTCATTCAAGCTGTCATCATCCACAATAGGCATCGCATAATGAAATAAAACACCATTCTGACATTCTGGAAGACAGTAAGTGAAACCTGTAATCACAACACTATCTTGTACTGCTTCGTCTCTACGTCGTATTCTCTGAATTAAATTATCACAAAGTTTCTGATAGTTCACCTTGGATGGAACAGTTAACTAAAAACTTCTACTACCAACGAAATGGACACCCAAATTGTCCTCTACTTTCTATAATGTCCACCGAACAACAAGTTCAAATCTTCTAAAACCACTACATAAAAAACAAACTCACTAATAACTAACTGAACAAAATCATTATAGCATTTGAAGAATACATTAAAAAAAATACGTCTCTTACCTATTATTAGTCATCTTCCAAGCAACCAGACAACAACCAGAGCTTCTCTCGTATAAAACTTTGTTGATTTTTTTTGTGGTGAAGAACCGAAGGAAAGGTGGAGTTTATATGGTGCTGGAGTGGATGAGGGAGACAGCGACCACTGCCTCAGCCTCAGGCGCCGGCGCTGAGGCCTTATAATAAGTGCCAACGACCCAGTCTCGGGCGCCGCCGCTGGCTTTTATTGAAAAATCAATAACTAGCGGCCGCGCCTGAGTCTCGTGCGTGATCGCTGTTAACCAACAAAAAAGCACAATATACATGTCAATAGTTTTTAAACCGCCATATTGATGGTAAATTTAAAAATAAAAAGACAATATTTGTAGAATTTATCAGATTTTCAAAAGCTATGTTGCCCCGGTCAAAATTCCTACCATGGTTGGAATTATTTTGCTAAAATTTACGACTTGTTTATCGGTTTATTTCATATCGTTATTGAAAATTCTAGGTCATGCGGTTTTGCTAGGTCAGGCCAAAACCGCACCTAGGCCATGCTGTTTCTATTAGGTCAGACATGAAACCGCATGGCCAAGATGTGGTTTTGGCCCAGGATCTTAAACCGCACTTTGGGTGTGCGTTTTATAAATAAAACGCAGCTTCAGGGTTATAAACCGCACCTTGGAGGTGCGGTTTTATAAAAATGGTGCTATTTTTGTAAATTTTATGGGCTGGGTGCTATTTTTGTAATTTTTTTTAAAGATGCTATTTCTGGAAAAATTCCCTAAGCTTAGGGCTCTTAACGAAGTTAAAAATATAGCACATATAGAAAACCTACCTACCAAATATTATAGAATCAAATAAATGTCTAAAAATATTAACAAGTGGGCAGGGAAGACTGAAGAGTTGTGACTTGTGCCAGAAGAGGAATCTTTCCATTATATTACATATCATTTTTTTGTTTGTTTTATTACCCTTATTCCATGAACATATATCGAACATGGCCGACGAAGCATGCATGCTTCACGTGTAGTTTGGTCACTGCATCAACATTTGTTATTTATTTATTATAATTAATTAAAAAAAATTCCGGCCTGGCTGAAAGATTTGCAGATGATTTTCCTCTGTTATTGCGAAGGGAGTGGATTGAACAGTTGGTTGGTGAGGGCTGCAGCCTGCAGGTTTATTATATTGAAGAGAAAATTGCTATCTTTAGAAAGAGAGATCGGGATCATGCAGAATCAGTAGAGTTTGGGTAGTGTCGACTGTTGAGCGAGCCTTTCTGCTCTAGGTAGTTTTCAAGCTCTATGTGTATTTTGCTTTCTGAGTTGAAATATTAATAATCTGCAACCCATCTCCACCCTCATTTCCCCACAAATCTCCCAAATCTTCACCAACCGATCCAAGCCCACAAATCTCCCAAATATTTCCAATACATAGAAAATGGGTGAATTGCAAATTTGGTCACTAAAATTATCTATTTGTAACAGATTAGCCACCCAAATCACTTTTCCTTTAATTTAGCCACTGATACTACACGTTAGGGCTGGCTATTTGGACCGGGACCGGATGAAAAACCGGAAACCGGACCGTATAACCCGGACCGAGACCGGATTGGGACCGGATAGTAAACAATCCAATCCAATCTTTGGGCTTAGATTTGAGGTAAAAAACCGGATAAAGACCGGATAAGAGAGCTCAACACCCAAAACTTAAGGGTAATTTGCATAAACGGTCACAAACCTTTGCACTTAGTACAAAACTTAACCAACTCCTCACCCTTTTAGGCCTTAGGCCACTCAAATTCCCACAATCTCAATATAAAATCAAGACCGAATTGGGACCGGACCGGGTCAAGACCGGACCGGATCAAGACCGGACTGTATCCAATCCAATCTTCGGTCCTTATATTTTCAAAAAAACCGGACTGGACCGGATCAATTTGGGCCAATTTAACCGGACCGGACCGTATAACCACCCCTACTACACGTTTATGTCATCCTTGGTCATTCGCCGTCTAAGTCCGTTAACTCTGTCGTGGGTGACAGTTAACTCCAACGTTTGACCGTTAAAACCTTATGTATCATTTAAAAATGAAGAAACATCAGACAGTTTCTAGTTCATCTTCAGATGGTAGATTCACTTGCTTTTATAACCCCATGAGTTGGCATGGTTGAAACAACTACTTTTTTAAGGATGACATAGGTTTTACATTATGGTACTACTTTAGCGATTTGAACAACTGCGCTTCCATCACACTAATCCAAACTCTTGTTCGTTGAAACAACTACTTCTGAATTGGGCATTCGTCGCAATGCTCCAACAACCCTATAATTTTCTGTAGCTAGAGTAATTAGTTTTATAGTTAAGTAAATTTAGTTAGTTTGTATTATTTTGCTTATCTAATGTAAAAGTAGGGTTTTTTGCTCAAGCCTTTATATGATGAGCATTGTACATATTCACAACTCAATGAAACAAGTTTTCATCCGGATCTTTTCTTATTCTGTGGACAAAGATGCTATAGATTTGCTTTTATTGTTAGAAGGCCAAATTCACTTGTATAGCCAAAACTTTGACGTTTGTGACAAATATAGCCACTTTTAGAGAAATATCAGAAATAGCCAGAATTTTGAAAGTTCGATGACAAATATAGTCATTTCCGTTACATAGTTTGACGGCGTCAATAACACCGTTAGTGAAATTAACCAAACGCTTACCTGGCTGTCAACTCACCGGACACATCATTGACAACTCAACAATACTTGCCATGTCATATTTTAATTTAAAAATAAATAAAAAATGACAAATTATTTTTTTTCTTCCTCTCTCCTCTCCCACCACTCGCCGTCGAAGATCTCTTTCTTCTCCCTCTCCTTTCACCACAGACCCCGACCCCAACCCCAAACTCATATCCTCTCCTCCCACTCCGACAGCGTTCCAGATCCAACCCACCACCGACCCCGCCGACCCTACGATCTCCCTCTGGCTCATAGCATCCGACCGCTAAACCCTTCCATGATGATCTGAACCCAAAGTGCAGGGCAACCCGGGGAAAGGTAACCAGAGAGAGGAAATCAGCCGGAGCGGCGTGTCCGATGAACTGAGCAACGACAGCAGGAGCGATCCGAAGAACAACATGAGTGGAGGTAGCAGTAGTGGAAATCCTCCCAAATACACAGGTCCGAAATCTCCACTCCTATCGTAAAGACTGAATCTCATTATTATGCTATAGCTGCTGAATTTCGGCTAGAAGAGAAGGGTTGCTAAGTTAATCTACTGTGCCATGAATCCATTCTTTTATCACTAACCTCTAAAAATAAAATCTAACCACTGAATTCAGTGTCACAAACGTTGCAATAGAAAGTAAAAGGGTCATGAGCTAACCTTCTGCCACCACCAGTTCGATGCCGGTTGAAGCCTTCTGCAGGTGAATGAGCAGCAAGAGGAATATTCTTGGCAACGATCTCGATCTTCATGGTTTCCCATCTAATTTCACATCATTATATCTTGCAAAGCTTCAAAACTGCCGAGAATTGAAATGGCAGATCTACGACCGGAGAAGAGAGGGCGTTGCGCAATGCGACGAACACGAAGAGAGTGGGGGATGGGGGGCGACTGGGAGATGCATCGGTCGTTTGACGATGTCGACGTGTATTGAGATATGGAGCAAGCGACGACGATTAGCGATGGCGATGATTGGCGATGGTGACGACGACGGGTATTGTTGACACCTAAAATTAATTTGGCCTGAATTAAATGCCGCATTAAATAGTCTCGGCATTTAATTCGACACCGTAGGTAAAAAACGGTGTCGTTTGGAGTTGAGCGGTGTCGCGAAGAGTTAAAACGGTACCGCGAAACAGAAAAACGGTACCGCAAGGAAGTTCAGCGGTACCGCGACACTGAAGACGACACCGCTCACCGAAAAATAAAAGGGGTGCCGCGCGTTTAGTTGGGGTTGGAGAAGGAGTTTTTTTCTCTAATTAATTATTATCTTTATTCCTTGTCGGAAGGGGAAAATCGGTACCGCGTGGAGACAAGCGGTATCGCGGAGAGTTAAAACGGTACCGCGGATTTAAAAACGATGCCCCGAGAGCCTGGTAAGCGGTACCGATTAATTAAAAATCATATCGGGCAAGTGACCAAAATTCACCCGGCCCAATGCAAGCGCCGACTGCGGTGGTTCCATGGATTAATATTTTTGGCTATATCGGCGGTGTCGTTTAATTCAAAATGGTACCGCGAGTAAGCTCAACGGTATCGCGGATTCGCAAACGACAGTGTTTAAATAAAAAACAATGTCGCAAAAGGGAAAAACAAACGGAGTTGTTGTGACGCTAGCGATGTCGTTGGCCATAGCTAGTGATGGACGGATTAATTAATTAATATTTTAATGGATGTTTAGGACGGTGTCGTTTAGTTGAAAACGATGCCGCAAGAGGAGAGAAACGACACCGCAGATTTAAAAACGATACGGTGAGTGGCCAAACGAGGCCGCAACAGTCAAAACGACAGTGTTAAAATCAAAACAGTGTCGCGAAGCTCAAAAGTTCAACGACATCGCGAGACAAGGAAACGATGTTGTTTAACTAAGAACGACGCCGAGGGGTGAAAGTTCGACGGCGAGTTAACAATGAGGGCTGGTCTAATTAATTAGTATTTTATTATTATTTTAGACGGTGTCGTTTAATGAAAGCGATGCCGCGAAAAAGTAAAACGACACCGGTTGGTGAAAGGCGATGCCGCGGTGTTGGTGAAACGGCATCGTTACATTGACAAGGTTGTAGGTCGTTTCCTGAGTTTCTGCAGGTTTCTGCAAAGCAAGAGCGGTTTCGAGGGCACGTGATTATCACGCAACAAGGAGGAAGTTACCTGCACGGTTGACAGGAGTGAAGACGTGGGAGACAAAAGCGCCAAGGCAGTTACTACGACGAGAAGAAGCGCGAAGTATAAAGGTTGGGAAGAGAGAGAAGTTGGGGACAGCAAAATCCAATCACAACTGCACCATTGCAGAATTATCTTTTTTCTCTCTAGTTTCGTAGAACCGCTCTGTCAAAGAACTCCTTTGCAGAGTCGTAGATCGTAGCTTGTAGTCGTAGTCGCGGAGCTCTCCAGAGGAACCTCCATAGGAGTAGAGGTAACGTAACTTAGAACACTCCTGGTTCGATTTTCTGTTTATTCGTCAAACACCCTCGTTCGAACGTAGTTTGGAGAGGTGTTGAACCGAATAACAGTTGTTTGATTAGAAGTCAAAGGTGTATCGATCAAATCAACGATGCCGACACCGGCGGCGGCCATTTAACGATCGTCTTGGTTTCTTCTTTAATCGATCAAATCAACGGCGCCGACATTCGGCGGCGGATATTTGACGGTTGTGATTGACGTGTGTTTTGTGTTTTTCTTGAAAATCGTGCGCACTTAACACACGAGTTTCGCCAACGAAACAAATTGGCACACCCGGTGGGACACGTGTGTTCGAATGGCTCCGCGACGAAGGAATCAGGAAGGGGATGTCCCGCCCGGATTCGTGGAGGAACATGTGGCCAACATTGAAGGAGGCCAAGGAATCGGTGCTGAAGACATCGGCGGGTCCGAGAATCCGCCGTCCACAGCTGGGCCGACTGGGGATTTGTCAATCCGCCATTTCATGGAGGAGAACCGTCGCATGTTTGCTAGCCTCAACAATGAGTTCGCAGGCTTCAAAGGCGAGGTAAATCAACGTTTTGACGCTTTAACTGCACGACATGATTCTCTTGAGTCTCGTGTTGATAGGCGTTTAGGCCAACTCTTTGAAGTTGTGACTAAAAACAGACATGATTTTGATGTTTTCGGGGATAAAAATCTACGTGATATGAACGAAATCAGGGAGCTCTTGGGTAGACCAGTAATGCAACCTAGGGATTTGCCGCTAAACGGTGAAAACAATTTAAACAGCGAAACTGGTTTTCCAAACAACAGTGCTCGAATTAGTCCGCCAAGACAAGGAGCTTCGCCGACACCGGTGATGAACCCACCAACTCCGCGGGTTAATCTTGGTGAGACTAGCACTGCCGCTAACACTCGGGCTGAACCACCGCCGTTTCACGGTGGGGGTCCACAAAATATCCCGGAGGCCAGACCCTACGTGGCTCCGATGAGCGGCGCTGGTGGTGGAGGAACTATCAACAATGATTATGTTCCGCCACGCGGCTACCCACAAAACGTGCCTCCTCCTCCAAATGGGCTTGGCATGGATCCTGGTGGATTCGTACCACAAGGGGGGCAACTCGGGGGGCAAGACGTTAATGCGATTCGAGATCAAGTAGCACAGATGCTGGCGGATCAGTTTGGTTTAGGGATTAGACCAGCGATGCCGCCGGTGTATCGAAAACCATATCCGGATTGGGTTGATAGATACTACCCCTTTCCACGTGGTTTTCACGTGCCTGATTTCATCACCTTCAGCGGGACTGGGGATCAGTCCACCGTCGAGCATGTTGGACGATTCACGGTTCAGTGTGGTGATGTGAGTGATTTCTTGAAGTTGCGTTTGTTTGGCAACTCGTTGACCGGTCCTGCATTCGCGTGGTACGTCAACTTGCCATCGAACTCGGTTCAAACTTGGCAGCAAATGGAACAAATGTTCCATGCTCAGTTCTACCGTTCCGAGCCAGAAGTAACAATGGCAGATTTGGCACGAATGCGCCAACAGCCAGGAGAAACAGTAGAACACTTTTTAACAAACTTTAAAAATGCAAGAAATCGCTGTTTTGTGAACTTGACAGAACGCGAGTTTGTTAAACTGGCCCAGGGTGGATTGAATTTTGAACTTCGTAAAAAGTTTCAAGATAGGGAGTTTTCTGATTTGTTTCAATTGATGTCCTGCGCTGTTAGATATGAATCTCTTCTCCGTGAAGAAGAACATAAGAGAAGTGGCTCTCGCGGTCAATATTTCCCTAATTTTGAAAACTATGGTGTGAATAACGTCGGCAACGATGTTGACGAAGTTGAAGTTGATTTGGCCGAGATTGTGCAGGGGAAGCCATATGTGTGTGCTTCTCTAGCCAAGGCCGATGGGGAACCACAAGGTGGAAAGCCCAATCGTGCTCCGATTCAAACTAGAAAATATTCCTTTGATATCTCAAAATCAGAACTGATTTTCGACCAGCTTTACAAAGATGGTCAAATTAAGTTGACTGGGGGGCATACTATCCCGCCAGCTGAAAAATTAAAAGGGAAACGATACTGTAAATGGCACAACAGTGCATCTCATTCAACTAACATGTGTGTTGTGTTTCGTAACGTTGTGCAGGATGCAATTGAGAAAGGTCGGTTCAAGTTCCCAGAGCCGAGAAAGGAGGCCATGATTGTTGACACAGACCCGATTTCTCTAAGATCAACCTGCCACGCTTCAAGTTGGTGGTGGATACATCGCCGCCGCCGAGTGGTAGTTCTGATGTGGCCCAGGGCGCTTCATCCTCACAAGTGCAGGAGGGGCCACGCTTGGACCCAACTGAGGAAGAGAAGTTGTGTGCCCAGTGTCGCGGGAAGCTAAATATTGGAGGAGCGGGACCGAGCCAGTCGGTCCACCAGAGATTGGGACCACGACAGTTCAAACCGAGGTATCCCTGATATGAACGCAACGTCGAAGGAGTACGTGCACCTGCGTGGGGAAGAGGGCAGCGTAGGCAGTGGGTTGCTCAAAGAGCCCCACCTTTCAAAAGTCTACCTTTTGGACTCGCCCAACCGGTGAGAGCTCCCCTACCTGTTAGGAGAACCTTCAGGATGCCAAATGTTCTACGGGGTGGTTGGCACACCTACGACGTCCGTCGTCAGCAGCCCATCGCGGTTGACGCGATGACAAAGACGCAGTATCGAAGGTACCTCCGCAAGAATGCTCAAGGAAGGAGGATTGCAAACTTGCAAGCAAATGTGAACGTAGACAATTCTGCCACGGGTCCGAGAGTGACTGTGGCCGGTGCTGGAAAGGTTGTCGAGGACAACCTGGACGGGAACGAGCAGGGAGTCCCGGGGGAGGCTGAGTACGATGCTGAGTTGGATGACTCCCTCATCGAAGAGGAGATGCTGGAATTGGAGGAGCCGAAGTCGAAATTCGATCGGAAAAACAAGGATGACGATGATGACAACCAAGGTGCACCTATGACGATCCAGTTTGGAAGTCTACCACCGGTGGTGGTGAACAACTACATCTTGCCTTTGATTTTCCACATTGATTTGGAAAATCAGGGAGAGGATGGCGAGGTCGTGATGGAGGTTGAGGAGTTGGACGAGGCTGCTCAAGAGGTCAACGTTGCTGAGCTGGTGAGCGATTTTGCTCAACTGACTTTAGAGGAGGAGAATGAGGAGCCAGCGGCGGCAGAGCTGGTTGGCGAATCTGCGGATCTGCCAATCGAGGCTGAGCCGTGGAGTGCAATGATGGCTCGCACGAATGGTCGAATTGACTTGGCAGTGGAGTCAGCCAAGCAAAACAAGAGTTCGCAGCGAATCCTGAAAGAGCTGTACGAAGCAGGCCACAAAGCTGTTGGGCTACTGGGCGAAGATGAGGGAAGATATCCTTTTTACGTGTTATACCAAGGCCCGAAAGAGTCAACAAGTGTGCCGGTGGAGAACATCACATGGGAATCAGACTTCGACAAGCTGGAGAAATCTATCCAGGCTGCAGAAGCGAAAGGGAAAGCCGTGGACGAAGGAGCCAT